ATTAGTTCTTATTTATTAATTCTCTCTCTCTCTCTCTTCATGTTCTTGTTTTTTCTTACATTCTTTTTTTCGTAATTTTTTTTCTCCCCTTTTCACTACCAGTTTATCATTTTCGTTGTGGGAAAAAACAAAAACGAAAACATATATAATGATCGCAATATTGAAAGCAATAAATAAGGAGTGCTTAAATAAAAATTTWTTAATTACCTTGTTGTGTAGCCCAGTCAAGAGATTTCCCTTTACCAATGWCATAGGCTTTCCACATCGTAAGCTTATCTTTGCTGTACTTGAAATTATTAAAAGGAATTAATCTCAACTAGTTTAATTCCCTGGATTGTTTGTAAGCCAGCAGCGTCMATCACAGCAACTCTAACACCACGCACACGACCATGGGAGAGAATGGCTTCCTTTAAGGCTTCTGCATTGCAAACATCGTGTCCTTCGTTAATGTAACGACGAACGTGTGCTTTGATCGTTGCGGCCTTACGATCACAAGAGCCTTTCCCTCCTTGAGGATCGCTAAAATCAATACGCTTAACTCTAATTCCGGTCTCTTTCTGCATGAAGTGACAGGCAGTTATYATAGCTGCACTGTGATAACACCCCGCGTTGTCTTGCTTGTACACAGCACCAGTGATTTCAGGATGCTCACTTTTGAGTTGCCTCTGGGTGTGTTCCATGATAGACACCACGTCGTCGCTGTCTTGGCTACAGTTTTTTGCAATGTGTACAAATGCTTGGTGCTGGAGCTGTCCTGCTGCTGTTCTTCTGACCACTACAGATATGTGCCAACTAATCCCTCTCTTTCCGAACCAATCGGTCTGAGTTTCTGGATACTTCTGGGGAAGAAATTTCATCGCCCAGTCTTGGGTGATCAACACTGTACTCTCATCTAATTCATTTATCATGTCGATTCGTGATTTGTCTTGTCTCAATGATCGAAGTTGGTGGGATTTCCAAGTATCTATTAGCCTGTATTGCCTGTTGACAAGAAAACATCATATCATCGCCCTTTTCGTTTCCTAGACGCTGCGAAACGTTTGCCACTGCGTTCTTGATTGAAGAAAGGACAGTTTTTAGTTCCTCACAAGAAGAGCAACTAAGGTCATGTTGGTGATCGCTACATGATGAACACAACTTCTTTTCATTTGGGTCGTTGAGTGCGTAAACAGTACATTGATCTTTCACTTGAGATTTCTCTGATATGTGAACCTATAATAAATTCATATCGTTTAATAATAAAATCACATATTTCACGTTCTTTTGTTCGTTTTGTGTGGTTTTGGGTTCTTGCCCTTTCTCCTTTTGCAAGAAAACGTTTTTTTAAATTTATAAATGAGCTTGAATAAAGAGATAAAAAAGATCTTAATTTTTTCAATGCGCTGTGGTACTGAAAACGGTTTTGTTTTGTTATGCATGATTACGAACCTTGTAGTCGTTTTTTTATATACTGCTTTCCTCTTTTTAGCATTCCTTAGCAGTTTTTGATCCAGGCTTTGTCTTGGCCATAATCAGCAAGTTGATTGATAAGGATAGTCAAGTCATCAAAGCCTTTTGCTCCATCTGCTGAAAGGTAATCTAGACCTTGGAGGGATTTTCGCACTGTGGCAGTGCAAACCGAGAGTATTCGGTACATGGTAGATGGACTTWGAACTTTCACATTACTTTCATTACAGAACTGGGTATACTGATTTATCATCCTCTGAGGAATCATAAGTCGTATGACGTTGGGAGTCTCTAAAACCTGACCATTCGATAAGTGCAAGTAACGTTGACCGAAGGGAAGATCCTGTACGACATGGCTGCTTGTTATAAAGGACAGGAAATGATCAAGCTGGTTTGGATCGATTCTAATTCGAGGACTTTTCTCTTTAAGAACAGGRGTACCCCGACCATGCTTCAGAATGTGCATTCTTGCTGCCTAAAAACGATACTTAGTCAGGCCGGGAATAAACTTTGGAATCTGACAAAATGTCACCAGGTCACTCATGATTGCAAGAATGWTGCGTTTGGTATCCCAGCTTCCTGCATTTTGGTACGCTTCAGCCAAAGCTTCAAGATACTGTCTCTCGGTTGGTTGTAAAACGCCAAGAACTTTATCGACAGAGTGAGAGGATTGCACAGCTTCCCAAAGATTATTCGCATCACCCGGAGTTAAGACATCCAATACAGAAACAATGGCTTCGGTGGCTCTATTGATGTAGACGTTCTTGCTACGCTGGCTCATATTTTCCCATGGTTTATTGGGCTGTCCAATCGAACCACACTCTGCGTTACCTTTGCACACTCGTAGAAATTCGTTTAACTTCTGGAGTTTCTGTTTTGAAAGGTCTATGGAGCCATTACTACTCTCTGTTGAGTCTGAAAAGATCACTGCTGGGTCCTCCTCTAAGTTCAGCTTCTCTAATGCATATTGCAAATCATCTAATAGCTGCAAAAGAATTTGAATCATGTTACCCCACTAGCATTATTTACTCGATATCATCTTGAACGATGATTCTCAAATTATTTACTTACTTCACTCCCCGCGTCACTGTTTTTTGTTGCACATTCACATGAACCAATGTCAGGCTCTTCAACGTTTTGTTCATCATCTGACGTTTGAATGACCGGATCTTCTTCATTCTCGGGTAGGGATCGATATTGCAGTAAATCAWCTTCAGACTTTAATTGCATTCGACATTGTTTGCAGATTGCTAGAAAACAAAACATTTCTGACTCAGTTGTGTAGGCTTACATACGTAATTACCAACAGTAGGGACATATGGTTCCGCAGTGTAAGAGTGTTACTTCCATATATGGACTATACGGGGATGATCCGCTGAACAGGGTATGGTTTTTCGAGCTTCTTGTCATAAACAGAATATGCAATTTCACTCAAGTTCCAAGTTCTTCTTGGTTTTCCTGTCATATTCAGGGTTTCTACTTTCCTATTGACCGAAACTGGTCATTATGGTAGTAAACAAAAACAAACAAAAAGAAACCATACGCGATCGCGAGATGACATGACAATTGAAACAGRAACTCAGTGCAATAAATTATATGTTTTTTCATAAACAGGGTCTACAAATTTGAGTTTTTATGTCATAAACAGGGTACCCCTTTCAGAATCCCAGCGGAACACCCCTACCAAAATTCTGGCGGAGTACCCAATCCGGGGTTTGTGTGTTGAGTAAAAGGGGTAGCTGGGAGTGGAACTGGGCGATGAATGCAGAACCAAGGTAATAAAAAATGTATCCATTGAGTAGTAGATTCTCTATTTGTCTTTGTTCATTTTGATCTGTGATGGCAAGATATGTCATAACATTATTATCAAAACTACCTTTATTGGCAGATACAAAATTATAAAAAAATACTCACGTGTCCCAACTGGAGTCAAGTTATTTGTTAATTGATAAAGCCCCTTTGACTGTTGGCTCGTAAGACCACGATCGCCTCTGTACTGATTTAGTTTGTGTTGGGCCCAACTCACTGGCATTGAGCAAGTTTTTTTAAAGCAGCGCCACCTTATTCCATGTTGGTCTCGGAGCAGCAGTAAGGGGGATCCGCGATTGCTCCCTCGATTCACACGGGTACAACCCAGCCCAGGGGATAGGGCGTCGGCATCGGGTATTATTCGCGTCGCGCTAAATAATTTCTGCTTTTGTGTCTAAAATGTTCCATAGATATATGCACGAATGTAAAGAATTTGTCTTTGACGTCTGCGTGAAGTGTTTAAAACCCAAGTTTGTACCAGAACCTTTGAAAAAGTTAGTTTGCTGTGGTAAAAAGATGCAAATAGAAGAAGATACGTCGGCACAGTGTTACGAATGTGGTAAGAATATCAGAAACGCCTTGCCTTGTGCTACCAGGGAACAATATTACTCTAACGGTGGTCGTAAGAAAACGCCATATAAGAGAATAAAGTACTTTAGAGACTGGATGAGTCACATCCAAGGTCTTCGACCGGTATATTTAGACGACAAGGTAAAAGAAGAAATAGTAGATCATTTGGAAGAACCAACCCCGCAAAGCTTAAGGAAAACGCTGAAAAAATTAAAGCTAGGGAAATATTACAAAGACATTCCCTATCTTTTGTCTGAGATTACTGGTAAGTCTATTCCGGAAGTGCCTGATATGCAAAGAGCCGAGTGGATGTTTTGTCGTCTGGATAAGGATATTCCTTATTACCCTGACGTAATTTACGAAATATTTTACAAAATAGACCCCAAACACTCCCTCTTGGGATGGATTCCGAGGCGTTGACGTCACATAGCAACGCCAACATTCCTTTTCCTCATAACAACCAGCGTTTTCCGAGCACACGACCAAAACCCGAGCACGCGACAAAAAGCCGAAGTAAGTTTGAAATGTAAACAACCTCGGCGAGAAATTAATTTGCATATTTTCCAGACTGACGTTCAATATGCAAATAGAATCCTGTTTCGCTTTTCTCAAAGCAGATGCTTACTGAGCGAGCTTTTTTTGGAGCTCTTCTTTGGCTTCCTGATAGATCTTCTTGCGAGATTCCTCGGACAGATCTTTCACGATGGTTTTTTTGTTGCCTGACTTTAATTCCTCATACTTCTTTTCCTCCGCGAGAATCAAAGAGAATTCAACATCGTCTATTTTACAGTCGACGAGAGCTTTGGAAACTAAGTCAGTGATCGTATTAGACTTTGCTCTGGCGAGGGCTATGGTGGTGTCATGCTTAGATATTTTAGTAGACAACTGCTTCATAATACCTGTAGCAACAGCTGAGATAATTCCACAAAATGCCCCAACGCCCGCTAAGGGGACTCCAACGATTATTCCCGGTCCAGCGAGTGAAGTAGCAACACCAGAACCCGTCAAAGCTACGGACAAAGATCCTGTAGTTATGGCTATTTTATACAAAGTGCTCCTAGCGCGTGCGTATTTTTTTCTGACATTCTCGTAGTGTTTTGTCTGACCATCTAGGTAAGCTAGGATTAAATTTGCTTTATTCAAGCGGAAGTTTTCAACGTCATTTTCGATGGGTAGCGTAGCATGATAATTAGGAATATCTGGGTACAACTTAGGTGCCGTTGGTATAACATCCATTATATACTAATGTACGACGCTTTTGGAAACGACATTCAATCGAATGAAAGGAGTTACTGGGCACCGCCTAAGGCTTTACCAGTCGAACGTAAGGCTTTACCGGCCGTGTCTAGGAAGGCGGTAGAAAAGGAGTCAAACTTCCCAAAGAATTTATTGTCAACGACGGAGAATTACCCACTTTACGACAATAAAGATGCAGGTGACTTTGCTACGATGGTTACCTCTTTGGAGATTCCTGTGGGGCCTACAACATTTAAGGTAAGAGTCAGAGACATTTTCAAAGAGACGGCTATAAAGCATAATTCAGGTAAAGAAGCCCGCGAATGGCTATCAGGGCCCAGCATGCGGTATTGGCCGCAGCAATTGAACTTTGCAGTCTGGGCTGCTACTAAGGGATGTGGAATTGCTGTGGATATGTTCCATATTCCTTTCTTGCGATTTCACGTAGCGTTTACCATGCGCAGAATCCTAAAGGAGTTAGGCGTGCCTTTACCGGGTGATGAGGTCTTTAATGCAAAAGATAACCATTACGATAAAGTCGCCTGGGAACGTCTGAAGAATGAATTCCATCTTCAGGACCCCGACTTTCGCAACAAAGAAGGTGCAGCAAATGGTTTAGGAGAGACCTATACTTATGCATCCTACGTTGGTGCCAGCATAGAAACGCCTGGCATGGGGTATCCTAGCTCCTATGAATTCTCCGACCTAGGAGGCAGTGGTACAAAAGGAAATCTAATCTACTTCAAAGAAAGTAAAGAAAAGTATCCTTGGGCGCCTTTCTTTGCCGCGAAAGGGTTGGGTCTGAAGAATCTAGCGAGGATTAATCGAAGCATCGAAACCTTTGTCTACTGCGTCTTAGGAGCGCAGGTTAACACTCGCAGCCCCATCGTAGATGCCCACGGTGCGTCGCAAGAAACGCAACAGGTATTCATGGTGCTCTTTGAAAGTGCAGTGATTGAGAATGAAATATCCAAATCGGTGCAAAGATACCAGTCAGCAGTGCAACATTCAAAAGTTAGACTGGATTACGCTTTGTCACCAGGCTGTTGGTTATTACCCAGTGATTTGGTGATAAATACCCAGTCTGTCGTCGGTTACAATAACAAACTGCAGAGAGCAACTAAAGACATGAAGATTGGTAAGAACGATGTGAACTCTGCTACCACGCGAGGAATTCCTCACTTCGTAGAGAAGCCTAAAAACGACCACTTAGAGAAATTCGTAAAAAAGACTCCAAGGAAAACGATCTTGCCTACGATACCTGAGGAAAATGACCACGACGCTTTGAAATTCGGCTTAGCAGCCGCAGCAGTTGGTGTTGGGTACTATATATGGATGTGAGTAACCCTTACGTAGCTAATGAAGGACCTAAAGGCGACACGGGAGACCAAGGACCACGATGACCAGCTGGATCGATAACTCGTGCTGATGCTGGAATTAGTTTGTCAACCACTATAATGCAATTTATTTATGAGAATGGAAGAATCACACGTGGTTCTAACCAGGATACGATTAAGGAAATAGATAGTTCTAAATACAACCACGTTGAGGTAATCGTTTCGTATCGGGCGTTTAATGGAACCATATTGATACGAATGCTACAAGATGAATTCATTGAAGGGTGGTCAGGTCAGTATTACGTTAGGATGAGGTTTAAAGGTAAGGATTACGTTAGGATAGATAAGGTCGGCCACATGGGAGTAGAAAGCGTTACCTTTATGAATATATGATGGATTACGCCTACGTTGCTTATAAAGCTGAAAGGAGATACGACAGGAATCGTTGGGTTGACGTAGAAGGGATGTCTGTGAGTTTGAATTACTCAGGAAGGAAGCTGATTCTATGTAGCATTTCCATGGGTACGGACAGCCACGCTAACGTAGGCTTCAGATTTTTGGATGACAACGGCGTGCTGTATCCTATGTCCGCGAAGACAAACCACAGAGAACCCGTACATTTTTCCGTAGAACCAAACCCCGGTAGCTACGAGAATCTTACGACGTGGACTTTTCAAATGATAGCGGATTGTCATGGAAAGGTAAAATTGCAAATGCGTGTGGACGATACAGGCTTGGCTGTAATAAATAGCATTTACGATCGGAGAGATAAAGAATACAACCATAAAACTTTGAGTACTTTGACGGTGCTAAGTTTACCCACGGCGCCTACCATGCTAATAAACAACCCTCATGCGATAGGGTTAGACTACGTCTATGTAACTCATACGGGTGAACAACAGTACGACCAGGATTCTTGGCAGGATTTCATGTCCGTAGACCTTAACTACTCCGGTATGAAGTTAATCCTATGCAGCGTTAGCATCAGTGGTAGAGATGGTGCTAACATAGGCTTTAGATTACTGGATGACCGTGGTGTCTTATCTCCCGTGCGTAATAAGGTAGACAGGAGATACCCAGCGCATTTTTCCATAGAACCCTGTCCTACGAGTTGGGAGAACCTCACCGTATGTACTTTTCACATGATCGACAATTGTAAAAGGAAAGTAAAGCTGCAAATACGCGTAGATGGCACCGGTAGAGCGTCGATAAATGGCTTAGTGAATAAAAAAGATGCGCCTTACAATCACGCTGCTATTAGTACTATGACGGTATTAAGTCTTACCTGAGATATATGGAGAACCCGCATGTGAAAGAAGATTGGTTCCTTTACTATTCCACAGAAAAAGAATACGTAGACGACGAATGGCAAGACACCGGCCTATGGGTGCAAGTAGGAGGCTTAGGGTTGATCCTATGCACAATTAGCATTAGCACAGCAAATTCCTGCATCGTAGGTTTCCGACTCGTAGATGAAAACGATCGTCCCCTACCTCCAAACAGAAAAAGAGAAAACTCAAGGCATCCAGCGCATTTCTCCTGCGAGCCTTATACGTTATCCCCTGAAGATCTTACGCCAGTTACTTTCCATATGATAGCTAATTGTCAATATGCAAAGCTTCAAGTTCGTCCCAGCGATTTTGACATTAACAATGGATTAAAGGGCACTGTTAAGCTAAATTACAGTGGTAAGCGAAATGCTACTTGGCATCACAAACCACTTAGTACCATGTCCGTTATACCTTTAATTTCTTCAGGATAACAACGCCAACGGCTACTACTAAGATCCAGATGTTATTTCCTAGGAACTTTAACACTTCACCACCGGCTCTTAAAGCGAAAGCCAACACGCTGCCAAGCAGCCCAGGAATGCCGGCTGCCATTCTTTTCCCCAAATCGGCTACGCTTTTACCGACGCCTTTGACCGCAGCACCCGTAGCTTTAGTAGCGCTGAGGATTGCTCCGACGACACCGGAAATAGCGACTGCGAATACCAGCGGCATACCATATTTCGTCAGCAGTCTTTTCATTTTTTCCTTAGTAGTCAGACCCAACTCCCTTTCCAAGCCTTCTCTTTGCGCCTGTAATTCCCCAAGCCTTTCCTGAAGTGACTCTAATTCCCT